CCCAATATTTACAAAATACTCATTAAATTCATTGACAATGTCAATCATTTTATTTATACTTAATTTATCATCATTAACAAAATAAGTTGGGTAATCTACTTTTTCAGTATTCTTTTTAATTATACTATTAAGTACTTTCCATGTTATTTGTATGTTATTCTTATGGTTGTCCAATAACTTATTATAATAGTCCTTTTTACTCAATCTTATAATGCTTATTAATTCATTTTTATATATCTTATATTTATTTTCCACTTGTTTGGTTCTAGTTACTATAAATTTCCTGTATAATGCATTTTTCTTTTTGCATGCTTTCTCGATTCCCTTAGTAATCCATGGTTTATCCTCGTTTTTTTGCTTTTTTACAGTCCTCTCAGACAAACAATGTTTTTCATATTTTCCAATGAATATGGACAAAAAAGCATCATAAGCACTATTAGGATCTTTACTTACATAAACCTCACTCCAATTTTGATTCTTTAAGTCCTCACTGAGAGCAGCAATGACTTCTGGTGTTCTATGTCGTATTGTTTTAAAGCTATTTGTTCTATTTCCTTTTGTTTTCTCAAATAGACTTTACATAAGTAACCTGAGATGATTTCTGTCAATACTGTCGACTAGACTGCACAGATACTGAACTGAGCTGGACGATGACATCACAGAATCAATGCAAACTGACTTTAACTAGAAAGTGTTTACTATAATCCTTTTTTTCGACACACTATTTTCCTGTTTAATACTGTAAAGCTGCTTTGACAATCTGTATTGTATAAAGCACTATATAAATAAAGGTGACTTGACTTTTGTTGTTTTGATTGCTTCTAATGTCCACATTTGTAAGTCGCTTGGGATAAAAGCGTCTGCTAAATGATTAAATGTAAATGTAAAATATGGTAGCATCGCTGCACTACCCACCATGCAGTGTAAGGTGAGCGTCTGTGGGTCAGTTTCTCCTCTCTCTCTGCAGAAGCAGTGGGCAGCAGGGCCACATGATGGCAGTCCATCTACACCTCTCACTCCTCTTATTACGTCCTCTTTTGTCTGTCCCTCGAGAGAGCTGTGGGAGAGGGACAATGCCATTGCTCTCAAGGTTGAAGCTGGGAGAGAAGCAACCTTAGTGTGTCAGGACTGGTTTTAATACAATATAAATCCTGGTGTTGAAAAGGCTTAAGAGTAAAATATATTAACAGCGTCCCTCAGACTGGCACAAACAATGACACTGTGGCCTCTGGCCCCGCTGTCCTCCTTGACTTACTGATGAGAGCTGCAACTTCCTAGATGGAGGAGGACTACATTAATACTTCACATATTCAGTTTTTCACATTCACATTTTATATGATCTTAACTATCATATTATAATTGTAAAAGTTCTGAAAAGCATAAAACTATAGCAATATAAACATGCACACCAGCCACTGCATGTCAGTTGAATTCTATAACACTGCTTGGCAAACATATTAAGCTGTATTTTGTTTTTATTGTATTTATTTTATTATTGTGCAAAAGAACCTAAACTAAAAAAAATAACCTGTTAAGGGTCAAATGCACTGAAGTGGTTTGTTGCTTTAATACATTATTGACAACAATTAGTGACTTTAAAAGAATGCTTTTTTAACATTTAACATTTAAAATACATATAGCATATTTATTTTCAAATTCTACATTTTCATTATGTCTGTTACATCAGTTATTTGATTAATATCCTAAACTGTGAGTCAATAAAAAATAAAATATACTTACAGAAAAAATTTGGTAACTTTTCCTGGCATGTCTTGGGGGAAATTACACCACTGTTATAATAATTACTAGGCTTGGAAAATTCTGACATGCTAGCTATGATATCGTTCAGAACGGACTACCGTCTAATTTAGGCATCAAGGTGTGATCATACCAATTGCTATATGTTCAAATCATTTACTTGAAACAGAAGAACAGCCAACATCTCCCTGTTATCAACACCCGTTTACATTCATAATGCTCTCCATGATGAATTTCTTTCCTACACAAAATTAATTGTATATAATTATATGCATTTAACTGTTGCTTTGATGGAGACGAACTGTTGTTTTCAAGCTGTTCTGTTCATTGTGGCTTCTGTTCAAATAGAACACGACTTGCTCTCAGCACTCCAAAATGAAAAAACAAAACTCACTCACACTCTCAGGCCATCTAAAATTGTTTGTTTTTTCATCGGAAGAGATTTGGGGAAACTTACCATTCCATCACTTGCTCACCAATGGCTCCTCTGCAGTGAATGGGTGCCGTCAGAATTAGAGTCCAAACTGCTGATAAAAACATCACAATAATCCACACGACTCCAGTCCATCCATTAACATCTTGTGTAGCAAAACGCAGTGTTTTTGTAAGAAACAGATCATCAAAAACCTTATCCTCTAATTTCTTATATAATGTTTCTCATCAGCTACATAATTCAGATCGGATCAGCAAAGTGACAAAACAAGTGTTTAGGAAACTTTAATTGAAAAGGTCTATAGCCAGTTTTACCCCAATGTACAAGCTTTTTGTCAGGAGCACATCTTCACAGACTTGCCCTGGTGTTCTGTTGGGTAGAAGCACTTGACTTTTGTCGAGCTCTGACTGCACTAATCTGAAATGTCTATATCTCTTATCTGGACTTAAAGTCTGTGCGGGCAGCAGTCTAACACTTCAGTTTCAAACAGCTGATAAGATCTTGGATCTGAGAGACAGACAGGGGGAAGGTGGGCGGACGCGGTTCTCGAGTCAACTGTATATAAATACACAACAGCGGGGAAGTCTGTGAGGACTGACGGTTGTACCGAGCACCTGTTTGGCTGCCTGG